AAATATACATCCTGAAACAATAAAACTCCTTAAAGAAAACATAGGGAAAATGCTCCAGGAAGTAGGAGTGGGTACAGACTTCATGAATATGACCACTAAAGCACAGGCAACCAAAGGAAAAATAAACAAATGGGATTACATCAAACTAAAAAGCTTCTGCCCAGCAAAAGAAACAATCAACAGAGCAAAAAGACAACCAACAGAGTGGGAGAAAATATTTCCAAAATATACATCTGACAAAGGATTTATATCCAGAATATACAAGGAACTTGAACAATTTAGCAGCAAAAAAACAAGTAACCCAATTAAAAAATGGGCAAAGGAGCTGAATAGGCATTTCCCAAAGGAAGATATACAAATGGCCAACAGACACATGAAAAAATGCTCAACATCACTCAGCATTTGGGAAATGCAAATCAAAACCACTATGAGATACCATCTCACTCCAGTTAGGATGTCTAATATCCAAAAGATTGAGAATGATAAGTGCTGGAGAGGTTGTGGAGAAAAAGGAACTCTCATCCACTGTTGTGCAAAATGGTGCAGCCTTTATGGAAAATGGTATGGAGGTTCCTCAAACAATTACAGATAGATCTACCATACGACCCAGCTATTCCACTGTTGGGAATATACCCAGAGGAATGGAAATCATCATGTTGAAGGGATACCTATACTCCCATGTTTACTGCAGCACTATTTACAATAGCCAAGAGTTGGAACCAGCCTAAATGCCCATCATTGGATGAGTGGATAAGGAAAATGTGGTATATCTACTACACAGTGGAATACTACTCTGCTATAAAAAAAAAAAATGAAATAGTACCATTCACAGCAGCATGGATTGACTTAGAGAAAATTATATTAAGTGAAATAAGCCAGGCACAGAAAGAGAAATACTGCATGTTCTCACTTATTTGTGGGAGCTAATAAAAATAAATAAATGTACAAACAAATAAATGGGGGAGGGGGTAAGAAGACACAACAATCACAATAATTCCTTGAACTTGTTAAGACAAGTGAATAGATATGATGCTGATGGGGGGAAGGAGGGGAGGGGGAAAAGGAGGAATTGGTAAAGGGACACAAATATCAACTACATTGTATATTGATAAATTTAAAAAAAAAACCATTCAACTAGAAACTTGGGTTTTTAAAGCTCTGTGTTCACTTCACTGCTTCTCAGACTCAGGCGTACACTGTAGGTAGTAATAATATTAATGATAATAAGCTCACTGTTTTGAGGGCTATAAGCCAAGTACACCATTCTAATTGTTCACATGTATTAATTTGTTAAATCTTCATAGTAGCCCTAGGAAGTAGGTACTATTATCCCCATTTTACAGTTAAGAAAACTGAGGCATAGAGAGCTAAGTTACTTACTTAAGGTTGCATGCCTAGAAAAGTGATAGAGCTGGGATGTGCCACAGGTAGTTTAGCTCCAAAGACTGTGGTTTAACCACTGTACTGCTTTGCATAGTCCCCAACTTTAGTAGGAAGGTGATTGCTTCCCCTCTAAAACCCCTCCACTGACTCCCCTTACACCTGGCTCTTCTTCCTGGCTCTTTAATGTGACAAGTGGCTGGTGTGCTGAGACTGCCACAACTTCCACTTTTATTTCTACACCCATTTTATTTGGTTTTTCTTGGAGTCACTTACTGCAGCTTTTAGACCTAAAACTTCTGTTCCAGGCCAGGCCAGTTTGGCTTTCTACAATACCGGTATTCATTTATACAGCTGTCTTCGCAGTGATTTGATTACAATCAGCACTTTAGCAGTTAGGATGCATGTGCCTCCTTTCTCTGCAAAGGTCACATCCAACAGTGCACAATCTTACACAATGCTCTGTGCCCTTGATCCTCACACCTCTGCCATGATTCTGTCTCTTAAAGGACACTCCTTGTCTAGCCTAACACAGCCAGGCACATTTCTCTTTTATTATTTATAGAATTTTAAAACTGTGGAGGTGGGAGGAACTTTGTAGATTATCCAGTTTAATTGCCCATTCTATTTTGTCCAAAAGAAGGAGGTGAGACTCCTCTGAGAGTAAGATTAACTGAAGTGTTAACACAGCAGCAGACAAAAAGCCTCAATGCTATTCTGTGGGTTATTGCCAAAAGACCTCAAATCCATCAGATAATCAGCTATGCTACCCAGTAAAGAACATCTCTAAACTACAGTTATAAAGAGTACTGTCCTCTGCTCTGCCGATACTATGAACTGCTAAAAGCCATTTCAGGAATCACTTCCACCTCCCTGGGCTGATCTGGGAAGCACGTTCATCACATGTGACAAGGCTCTCTGAGCCTGGCTCATGATAACTAAATTAGACTTTGTGCTTTTGATACCCTGCTCCACCTCAACCACATTCTCACAATTGATCACTCCCCCTGGCACATGGCCATTGAAGGCCCTAGTCCTCATTTATCCTACAACGTCACAGACGCTGCTAGTGGGTAGAAGCTGTGTATCTTAATCAGCGACCTGCAGCCTCGCACAGAAGTCAACTTATCCACTCTCCTTTTTCTTCCAAAGCCGTTACTTGGGCAAGCTGGGTCCTGTCTTTCCATCCATCTGCTGAATAGGCTTCCATTCTTTTACCACCTAACACCAATTACCAAGTGGTGCTGCTCGGGGATCACATGGAGATGCTGCCGCTCTTGAGAATACTTATGTTACTAGTCAGAACTTAGAAAAACATTCAACCTTCTCCGGCCTTTTCCTTTGCTTTTAAAAGAAATATATGCCCATTAAAAACAAACAAAAAACCCTTTCAGTTCACAAATGTACTAAACATAAAACAAAAGCTGCCCCCCTACCCCCGCCCCCAGATACCGACCAGGAACAATCTTCCGGCTGTTCTCTCTGCAGACTGCACAGCCTGGCAATTTCCCTTCTCAATCCTTATTCCCTGCCCCTGGGGCAGCTGCCTGGCCTTCCGCCACCTAACATGGGCCCTTCTCGAGTTTTCTTCACAGGGACTCTGAAGCTTCCCACACAGGGCTTCCAGGACACTGCACTCTCACTCGCAGCTGCTTCTGCTCCGTCTGCCTCTTCTCCCTGACCTCTTTGTGTACAAGTGTGCCTGGGCTTGGGCCCTGGTCCTCTTCTCTTCTCTGTCCACACTACTTAACTGAGGTGCTGCTCTGAGTGGAAGAGGAGCCACAACAGGGTTTTCAGCAGAGGAGGGACATGATCTGACTTATATTTTCAAAGGATCACTCTAGGCTTCCAGGTAGACTGTAGGATCTCATCCAGTGTCCTGGGTTTAAGTAGCACCAGCCAAAGGCTCCTAAATTCATATGTCCAGTCCCAACCTCTGTCTTCAAACTCCAGACTCATAAGATTTATCTGCTTAGTCTACTCCACTTGAATGTCTAATGGTATTTCAAATTTGATATGCCCCAAACTGAACTCCTGATCTTCTCCCATAAATGTGCTCCTCCTACAGCCTTCTCCACAAACTATAAAATCATCCAGACTTATCCCTTTTTGTACTACTCTACATCCATCATCAGGAAATCCTGTTGTCTCAACCTGCAAAACAGATCCAAAATTTGTCTACTACTTACACCTCCGCTGTCACCATCCAGGTCCAAGCCACCCTCATGTCTCACCTGAGGACAATCAGCATCCTGGGTGGTCTCTGCTTCCACCCTTGCCCACACCAACAGTCTACACGGAAGCTAGAGTGATCCTTTGAAAATATAAGTCAGATCACGTCCCTTGTATCAGTCCATTTCTGTTGCTTATAACAGAGTACCTGAAACTGGGTAATTTATGAAGAAATGAAATTTATTTCTTACAGTTTTAGAATGTGGGAGGTCCAAAGTCCAGGGAACACATCTGGTGAGGGCCTTCTTTCTGGTGGTGACTCTCCATAGCGATGCAAGTGTCACATGGTGAGAATGGGCTGAGCAAGGGAGGCTAACCTGCTCACTCAATTTCCTTATAAAGCCATCAGAACCACATCCATTACTCCATGAATGGATCAATCCATTCATGAGGGCACAGTCCTCCCAATCTAATCATCTCTTAAAGGCCCCACATTTCAAATACTGTATTTGGATTTCACATCTTTTTATGCAGTTACAATGGGGATCAAGTTTCCAATACATGAAATTTTGGTAGACACATTTAACCCATAGCATCCCTCCTCTGCTCAAGACCCTCTCATGGCTCTCCCTCCACTTGGAGTAAAAGCCAAAGTCCTTACAGTGGCTACAAAGTCCTCTATGACCTGGGTCTCTTGTGCCTTCTCTGACCTCACCTCTTCCTTCTCTTCCCCTGGATCTCTCAGCTCCAGGCCACACTGGCCCTCAGTCCATGCATGTTGCTGCCACAAGGCCTTTGCACTGGCTGTTGCCTCTGCCTGGACATCCTTTCCTCAGATGTTCACATCATTTACTCCTTCACCTTCTTCAAGCCAAATGTCAAATGTCACCTTCTCAGTGAGCCTATCCTGACTACTTTATTTGAAATTGCAACCTGTCCCTTCCCCCTTCCCCATTACCTAATAATCCCTTCATCCTGCTCTGCTTTTTAAAAATATATTTCTTACCACCTTCTACATTATTTTTAATTTATTATTTATTATGCTTTTGTTGCTGTCCCTCCCACTCCCACACCAACTAGTATATAAGCTCTGTGAGAACAGAGGCCTCTGTTTGTTTTACTTCCCAATATATCCTGTGCCTTCCACAGTGCCCAGCATGTGGCAGACATTCAATAAACACTTGTCAGTGAATGAATGAAAGATCTCTTAGGCCTGCCCAGTCACTCTGCAGCCTTTATGGCACAAAGACCCTTTTCATACCGAAGAACTCTGGGCCCCAGTGACTTCCTGCCACCTGGGAGGGGCAACCTTTTCTGAGCACCCTTTCTCCCCTCCTATTCCCAACCAAGTACCTGCCATGGCACCTTCCATTTGTACAGCCCCAGTAAGGGGCTAACTCCCATTCTAATGTTCCTAGTCCAAGCTGAGCTCCTTCCTGGCCACTCACCTGAAAGTCCTCCTCATCCAAGATCTCTTTCCTCCACTTGATCAAGAAGGCTGCACACACATAGAGATGAAAGTGGGAGAACCCTTCTGGTTCAGACTGGAAAGCAAAAAAATAGAGTTAGGTCTCCAAGCCCTGACGTGAATCCAGCTCTGGTCCTGTCAGCTCCAAACCTTCTGGAAAGTGGGAAAGCATCACAACACCCATTCAATGGCTGGGCAAACAGGGTGAAAAGACTTACGTAAGGCCCTGCCCCTGAGGCTAAGGCAGACACAGAAGTAGAAAGGAGGTGGGGGGACATCTGAGCTGCTACACTCCACACCAGGGCAGGGATCTGGGCACTTCATGGACGCCTAGCGTGGAGAGGGCAGAGGAGCTCTTCATACCTGGTATGTGTCCCACAGGCGGATGGTGCAGCGAAGAGGAAGCTCCCGCATAAGCAGGTTGTTCATCCAACGAAAGGCAAACTGTAGGTATTCAACCTCGTACCTCCTGAAGTGATTATGTACCTGCTCTGAAACAGGAAGCATCACTGGCCCCAGGGGCACAACCTAGGGGACTGGACCCTGAAAGGGTCACAGGAGCCAAAAAGGCCATTTCCATTTCTTATCACCCCCTCCCCCTGGAGCAAACAGGCATCTGATTGTCCTCTATGCTTGATTCCTTCATCTCACAGGCAGCACAGAGACCTACTTTAATATCCCACAGTGATGTTATAGGTGTTCTTCTTCCTTCATGGGGCTGCTCTGGCCACAAAGCAAGACACATAATGTTCACTTTGGTGACCTTATTACTCATCAGAGAAGGGGCCAGAATGGAAAAGAATCTTGGAGGTCACCTTGGCCATCCTCCCACCAGAGAGGAATTCCTCTTCAGCATCCTTGACAGATGTCCAGCCAGCAGAGAATTACACACTGCCAGTGAAAGGGGCTCGCTGACTCTACTCAAGGGCAGCCTCTTCCACTCATGTACTAAGCAATTCAGCAGAAAGTGTTTCGTCATATTCAGAAAACAGCCACCTCCAACTCCCAACCCTTGGTGTTCATGTGGTATCCTAGGGCATGCCAAAACAAACCTGAATCCTGTTCTACATGACAGCCCTTTAAATAATGCTTAAAAGGAATGTTTTCTGAATCACTGTCCTCTTCGGTTTCCTAATCTATAAAATGAGGATAATCATTCATATCTCAGAGGGCTTTAGGGAGGATAAAATGAGAAAATATAAGTAAAGTGCTTACAATGACACCTAGCATGTGGTAAATATTGAATACAATTCTTGGAAGAACTACTAACAACAGTTATGTCTGGGGAGTAGAATTTAAGGAAGGGGGAGAATTTCTACTTATATTGTGCTTTTTGGTATTGTTTAAATTTTTGTAATGAGGAAGTATTACTTCTATAATGCAAAGAAACAATAAAGACATATACATTTTGGGCCGGCTCAGTGGCGCACTGCTATAGTGCGCCACTTGGGAGCACAGTGGCGCTCCCGCCGAGGGTTCGGATCCCACATATAGACAGGCCGCTCACTGGCTGCCAAGGTGCGGGTGCAACACTGAGGGTTGCAATCCGTTGCCGGTCATGAAAAAAGACAAAAAGGAAAAAAAAAAAAAAAAAGACATATACATTTAAAAATCCACTATCCTAAAGTACTAGGCCTTTATTTATCAGGTATTTGTAATGGCAGAAAAAAATGGATAGGGCAGACAGTGGCAGAAACCACAGCCTCTGCCCTCTGGAACCCAACTGATAATAGGCCTCTGGCAGGCAGTTCAGCACCCCAGGCGAAGGCAGCATGCACTCTGTACTAGGCTCTGAGTGAGGGAGGCCAGAGAGCTGCACATGGGCCCCACACAGAGGAAAAAACCATTACACATACAACATATAGGAAACAACTGTGGATAAACAAATGAGCTTAGAAGATTGAAATTCTAAGTCATAAGAGGAAGCTGGAATGAGTGGAACGAATCAAGGAAGGTTTTCCTGAAAAGAGAACCTGGGAAAGGACAGAGAAAGATACACGACTTCTGTGTCGGAGGAAACGGGGGGTTTGCTTGGGTGAAGCAGAAAATCCATGAGTGGGAAAACCAGGAAATGGCATTTATTAGTTGGTGTATAACTGGCAGAATCCTAAAGAAGCTGCTACAACTTAACTGGTACTAGAGAAACCACTTAAGAGAAGACCTCTCTGTCTGGTTCTATGTACTCCTCATGAAACTCAATTCTGACTTCCCTTCCTAGGCCTCAGTTTCCTCATCAGTCACAGCAGAGCTTTCTGAGTTGCCTTTTAGTTCTAACATTCCATGACTCCAGGCAAGAGCCAAGGAATTCCTGTAAGTCTCCTGTTGCTCAAAGACATCTGCTTCAGTTAGAATCATGTCTCAATTCCCCCAGGTCAAACACGTCCCGACGAGCTATGGAAAGTCCTGCTGGGGTATCAGCATGACTTGAAGACCTTGCAGCCTTTATCAAGCCCAGGAGTTCTGGGTTATATCACCATATGAAGGACAAGGTCAGACTATAGACCTGATGCTAAAGGCAATAGAGAGCCATAGGAGGTTCCAGAGCAGAAGAGGAACATGACCAGAACAATGCTTTAGAAAGATGCAGCTTTGTGACAGATGGTTTGGAAGAGGACAGAGTATGGAGGAGGCAACTTCCTTTTAGAGGAAGTTACAGAAATGGCTGGATTAGAGCTGTGGCTAAGGAAATGGAGAAGCGGTGAGTTGAGGAGAGATGCTGAAGGAGAAATGATAGAACCTGGTCATAGAAAACTAACGGGAAAGAACTTGAAATAACAGCAGAGTTCCCACCTCACCTTCTTGCTGAGATGTGGAAGGATGCTGGTGCCACCAACAGCAGTGAGTGCTTTGGAAAGGGTCATGGCTAGGAAGGGAGCTAAGGAGAGGACCCACAAGTATAACTGGCTTGTGGCAGAATCATATTGTGCTATTGCTAGAGAATTCCTCTTCCTCTGAACCTACCATCAATCCGGCTGACAAGCTCTTCCAGTGCCTTGACCTTCTTCTGGATCCCTGGTTGTGCAAAGGTGTAGTTATCCTGCAAAGGACATAGAGCCCAGGATAAACAGGGACTCAAAACAGTTGTGCTACCACCCCTCAAGTTCACTGAAACACGTTTAAAAGCATAAGCTGTTTTTCCAAGGCCAGTGCCAATGGCCGGTGACAGTGTTTTGGGGAAGAAAGGAATCTACAGAACAGGAGAGTGTGAGCAAAGCCTAACAGTGCCCTGTGCTGTGGAAGCAGGCTGACAAGGCTTGGGGTACTCAGCACAAAGGAGCCACCTACTCTGATGACAAAGCCAGGGCAACACAGAGATTTCCTCAGGCTTCAGGGGATTCTAGACCAGTGCTGCTTGAAAACTGTAAAGGTAACGAAAGAGAGATAGACAGACCAAAAGGAGGAGGAGCCATGGTGGGTGGGTGGCCCTGCCTGATACAGAAGAGCAATAAGGAAACCAAAGGCCTGCAAGGACCCCTGATCTAGACATTCCTGCAAGGGCACAATGAACTCACCTGGATTCCATCCAGCAGTTTGCTCATGCACCAAAAGCTGTCAGCTTCAATGCTTCGCAGCATGTCCTGAGACAGGTTGGTCACGTCAAAGTTCTCCACATCCTCTTCTGTAAAACAAAAGGTGATCAAAGTCCAGCGGTCTTATCTAAAAATGGAGAGAGAAAGATAGAGTCTAATGTCTTCGGTGGGGTCCTTAAGGCCGGGGAGACCAGGCTAACATGATGTCAAGGAACGAGCCTGCCCCTCTACTCCCCTTGTCAGGTGGACAAGTGTGTGCCAGGGAAGTACTTGAGGATCTCATTACAACACTGAACAGGCCATTTCTCACACCAGTCCTGCTGGGTCCAACACATCTTTTTCTTCCTCTGCATTTATTCATTCAGTTTCAGAAAATACTTCAGGCCTCATGTCCAATGAGCTATACCCAGCTCCCTCAAGATGATCTGAAAAATTCTTTGATTTCAGAAATTCAGTGAGCTGTCTGGCACACTCACTCCTATATGTAGTGAGAACAGGTGGGATCAGATAGTTCCCACAGTTCTTTTTAAAGATGGGATCCCTAATTTCTGATAAGGCAGACCTAGGATCTTACCTACAGAAGTGAAGGTATGCATGTGAAAGGTGAACTGAGCCTGTGGGTGCCTCTAGCATTTAATTCCACCAAATTGGTCCTTCCCAAGATGGGTTCTGCAAAACATCAATCCTACAGGATACTCAAGAAAAAAGGGGTTCCATAGACGAATATGGTTGAGAAATGTTGTACTATATAGGCCTGTCTTGGAGATTCACCAAGATCATAGCATACAAATGGATTTGAGAAGTTATAAGAAATTCCGCATTAAGTAAATCTGCTTAACTTTATTTACCCAGCATTCCCCAAGCTTAGTTAGCCGTGGGACCTCTTTTAAAGAGGACTGCCTACAAGTTTCTCATGGAAACTCCACACTAAGTAAGAGAAGTGAGAAGTTGTCTAGTCTGAGATCCAAATGAGGAGAACACAAGAACCCCCAAGAAACCTGAAGAAGGGAAAGGCCATGTGATGTTAACTCTCCCTTCCTGCCACAGAGAGGTGAAGCATTAAGAACTGCCCTCCTTGCCCAGCAAGCTAGGCCACTGCCTGACTGTTAGAGGCCACACATGGAAACGTTCAAGCCCTTGAGTTCTGTGCCAAAGACAGCTTTTCTCCTTAGACTTATGAGCCTTATTTTGAAAACAGGATGTTCATTGCAGTCCCTTGTGCTACAAAGAGACACAGGCATGTGACAAAATGTATTCAGAATCCAGCCCTTTCATTTATCAGAATTATTACTAAGACATATCTGAACCTCCTCATGACAACATGTGACAACTCTCAGATTCTCATCCTGTTTAAAGAGTCATTTTTTTATGGACACCAAGGGCTGTAAAAAAACTCTTTTGGGGAGGGGAGCATGCTGTGTCAAAAAAGCTACCACCTTGGGAATGAGCTAAAAGTTCGACTTGAAGTACAGACACAGTTAGTATGTGTAAAGTGCTAACCATAGTGCCTGGCACACAGTAGGCAAAATATAGTTATTTTAGATGAAGTGTATTAGGAATTTGTAATGACATGTCAAAGCACATCACAGTGTTAAGGGAAAAGAGCAAGGTACAAAATTATTTATGGTATACTTTCAACTACTGTATATACAATATTTATGTGTGTTCCTATAAGAACGGAGAAAAGACAAACTAAATCACAAGGTTTAGTGTTCATTCCCAAAGGGGTAGGAATAAAATGCTTTATTTTTTTTAAGCTTTACTAGACTCTAAGATTTCTACAATCAGCATATTTTTTTTTCATCAGAAAAAAACACACATTATTTTAGAAAAAAAAAAAAGAGCCCTAATTGACTACATCTGTCTTTTATTGCCAAAAAAAGAATAAAGAAGATTTTATAAGACAACACTAAGCTTGCAGAAACAAAAATTCAGATAATATATAAAGGTCCATTTGAGAAATCACATTTTAAAAAAACTTTCAAAGAAATACCATTTTCCTCTTCTTCCTAACTTAAATATTTATTATGCAGTGTTTTTTGGGTGGCCATATATAATTGACCCTCTTTATATGCAGGTTCCATGCCCATGGATTCAACCAATTACAGATCAAAAATATTAAACAGATAAAAAAGAACAATGCAACAATAAAAATACAAATAAAAATAATACAGTATAACTATTTACATAATATTTACAATGTATTACATATTATAGGTAATCTAGAGATGACTTAAAAAATACAGGAGGATGCACATAGATTATATGCAAATACCACAACATTTTATATAAAGAACTTGAGCATCCTTGGATTTGGGTATCTATAGGGGTCCTGGAACCAGTCCCCAATACCGAGGGATGACCATGTTTGTATACATGTGTATGTATGTTTGTATACATATATATACACATACATACGTACACACAAAAGGTCTTCAAAAAGTTTGTGGAAAGATTTGTATTATCTTTTAATTCCATTTTTCCATGAACTTTTTTGGTATTTTTCCTTTTCTTTTTTTCTATCCTTTCTTCGTGAACTTTTAAGTATCCTCATGTATACAGACATAAAATTTAGTTAAATGATATTGAGCTGTAAGACCCAGCTCAGAATCCTCCTTTTTCTTTTTGCTACATATGATATCTCTGAGATCTTTCTGGATGGCTGTACATACCTCTAGTTCATTGCTGCAGTGCACCTCCACCATACCATCTATCCATTCCCCCAGGGATGGATACCCAGGTTGCCCCCAACTCTCATGGTCACAAACAATGCCCCAAGGAATTGCTCCCTTCGAGCCTGTAGGAGAACTGCTCTGGGTCAAAGGCCCATGAGGGTAGACTCCTCTCCAGAACCAGCCTCACAACAGTACACAAAGAAGGAGTGCCCTTTCCTTATTAGTGAACATAGCTGCTCACACAAACCCATACTAGGCAGCAGCTCCCTCTTTATGAGAATAGCATTGTAAGAAAAAAGTAAAACCTGCAAGGAAGGCTCAAGACAAAAGCCACTCCCATTCCTGATACACATTTCCCAAAGAAAGATCCAGAGCTCCTAATAATTTGAAAGGTCACTTCCAACCTGGGCATTCTAGGATCCCAGAACATTGCAATGGAAATGCAAACAGGATTGGAAACCACACGCAGCAGAGCAACAAGCGAGAGAGTGCTCGCATTCCCGAGGACAACGGGGAGCACATCTGCCATAACAGCCCCGGTGACCTGTGGCTTTTCTGTCAGACAGAACAGCACACAGTTAAGAGCAAACTCTGGAGATAGACTGTGTAGCTTAAATCCTGGCTCTGTCACTCACTAACTATGTAACTTTAGGCACACGACTTTACCTTTTGTGCCTTAATTCCTCATCCGTTAAGATGGTAATATCAGTACCAGTGTCCCAGGATATTGTAAGGATTAAATAAGTTAATTAATATATGAAAAGTGCTAATAATAGTGCCTGGCATAAAATAAGCATTATGTAAATGTTAGCTGGCATTATTATTGTTATTACATGAGGAACAAATACACTTCCATCTTGTTTGAGCCACCGATATTTTGGATCTGTTATTCACAGCCAAACCTAATCCTGATATACCTGTCATTCCAAAACGTACCTTAGAACTAAGTCAATTTTCAAAGTTTCCACTTCCACCTTTTGGTCTTTTTATTTTTCTCTTTTTTCTTTTTCTTTTTTCTACCACCTTTTGGTATTAAGGAGAAAAATCTGACTAACAACACGAGGTCCCAAGTTGGTAAGATGCCACTCTCAGTAACTGTACCAACTCCAAGCCTTTAGCTGCCCGGGGAGCAACGGGACCAACAGACAAGGTACTGAACCCCGTCTGGGGGTCTTGAGCAGGATGCTGTTGTCTGCCTATTAGCTCTTTCCTTTCACAGACAGTGGTGCCAGCATTTCAGTAAGCAGGCGGGAGAGTTTAGTTCTATTTTTCAGCCTGCTGGGAAGATAAAATTCACATTCAGTCAAAAACTGTGAGCTGAGTGCACCAGCAAAAAGCAGCAGTGGGAGGGAGGAGCCAATGCTCTCTGAAGGGCTTTATTCAGCATAAACAATCTGTTCAGAAGGATCATTAAACCTCCACTTGAGGAAATTCAACACATAATTGAAGATGAAATGGGAAGCCACGCCAGCAGCGCAGTCTGAGTAAGGGCAGCATCTTCAGTTGTCATGAGAGAGCACACTGCAGCAGGACTCAGACTGCAGGGAATGCAATCTTAAGGGATATTTTATGGCCATTTTAAGAGGCAAACCATTCAAAAGGAGGAAACCCAAAAGCTCTTTATAAATATCAAATTGCCCACTCTGGGCTTGATAAGAATATGCCCACTTATTAGCTGATAAAATGTACTTGAGTGGCGGCTCCAGTCAACTGTTTATTTTTCTGAGAACTCTGGGTCCTGGGCCTGAAATCAGCTTAATATATGCTGCAAAAACTCCCTGACAGCTTTGGGAAAAACTGGTTTTGCCTAAACTGACAAGAGTAACTTGTCTACTCACTGTTCTAGGCATATCCCAGGAACTATCTGTGACCCCAGGGCAATTTCTAAGTTTTGTGATCTGGTGGGTCAGAATGATTCAGCCTGATTGGCAAGACTGAGAGGACCCAAGTACCTGCTGCAGATGGCCTTTCTATTTTCCAAAGCCTCTGGTTTACCTGATTCATGTCTTTTTTAAAAAAACTGGACTCATAAGAATACCTTGCCTAATACTTTCTGATCACAAAAGTAAACTGATGAAAATAAAAAACAAAAATAAGGAAAAAAACAAAACTAAGAGAAAAAAATAAATCTTTTTGGCCATACATCTCAAGAATCTCATAAAACAGAAACTTAAATATTTCATCCAGAAAAACAGTGTTAAGAAAAGTGTCAAGGAAGTCATCTGATCACTTCTATGTAATCATTTTTAAGTAATTTGAGTGCTTTATCAGCATATTACTGGGTGTTATTCATCTGGCATTTTCAGGCAAGAACTTGATGGCAGCAGCTGAGACAAGGACATCACTGCAAACCTTTCAGATAAAGAGGGAAGAGAAGCCACTCGGCCAAACCTGGGAAAGTCAAAACACCTGAC